GGGCCAAGATACAACATCTGTAACATCTGCCCTGCAGCAGGGAGCAGCAGGCAGGGGAGACTGGCAAGGCAGGAGCTCAGACCCTGCAGTGCCACTGGGATCCCAGCACTTGGAGCTGCTCAGTCTGCAGCTCAGATCTCATTATTCCCACACTTCAGGCTCCTGCACCCCAATGCTCCAAGTCCTGGATGCTCCCAATTGCTGTGCCCAACAGCAGAGCAGGACAGCACAGATCTGGTGCTTTTAACAGATCCCAGGAAGGATTTTCAGGACAAACATCACTGGTGGGAGTGCCCTTCACATCTAACCAGCCCCCCTGCTTGTCTGCTGAGCTGAAGTCAGAAGCAGCAGCTGATGGCACCCAGGGCCCTTCTGCAGAGGAGCTGCAAATCCCAGTTCAAGGCCAATGGGATTCCAGCAGTTTAGACCCCAGGCAGGGTGTCTGTGCTGATGGCCAGGCTGTGTGACACTTCACACCTGACACTTCAAGCAAAAAACAACCCAAGCCTTAAATTTGGATATTTATTTCTTAGGATCAATAAATGACAAAATAAAATACCATACAGTACAAAGGCTATATCAGGAATTAACCATTTCAGTACACTTTGATCAGTAAATACAGTATCAATAATAGCATGTTACACTGAAAGAGTGTTTCCCATTGCCATACAGGAGGATTCCACACCCTCTTCTTTCCCTTTGTCACAGAAAATATCACAAAGTAGACACTGACACACTTTTAACATTCATTTTTTCCCCATTGAGCAACAGGCCACAAAAAAATAAAGCACATCAACATTTTGTATCTCAGAATAAAATAAAAATAAAAAGGTGCACTTCAAAAATATTTGCCATAAATACAATATGTGCAGGACTATCAGGTGGCACAGCTGGGGAAGGACTCTGGACCACAAAGCCAGGACACAGCATCATGAAATTTTGGATCAGCAATTTCTACTTTTTAAGCAAATCCAGACTGAGAACAGGAAGAGTGGGTGAGCTGTGATATGTGAAGAACCAGACAGAGCTCCAGCAGACACAGCTTTGGTTAAAGAGTCACCAAAACCACAGCCAGGAGGACGCTGGGCTGACACAGCACACCCAGGGCTGCTTCACTGGATGCTGGAAATGCAAAGGTGCTGCTATTGCTGTGTTCACAGCACGTGCCCTGCCAGCCCTCCTGGCTGATTTCCCATTGAGTTCTCTCCTGAAAAGCTCGCTGAAGTGAGGCTCATGCACCTTGCAAAGACAGACAAGCTCAGCAGAGCATTCCTGCGCTGATGGACTGGCCCGTGGTGAGACCGTCCTGTCTGGGGGAAATTTCCGAATAGCAAAATGACTTTATAAACCTGATTTCACACTCTGCTAAGCTGATGGCTCTGGAAAGGGCACTCTGAAGAGAAACAAAGCCTCAAAATAACGTTTGAAGGGGTCACTTGATGGACTCTCTTCAGAGTGGAATTTCTCAGAATCCATCTGGCAGCACTTCACATCTGCGGGCTCCACAGATTTTAGTCTTTTTTTAGTCAAAACAAACAGTTCCAAACACAGGGAATTTGCATAGATGAGCAGCGGCCCCAGCACTCACCTCTGCTTTGGTGAAGAGTGCAGCCAAAGCAGGGACACAATGGATGGGAGTTCTTGTTCTGTCTAATGGCAAAAGCCATTCACACCAGATTAAATTAAAAAACCTTGCTGAGTTAGCAGTTGAATCATTGTTGAAAGGCATCCAAAGAACCGTTTCTCTGGTAAATATGGGGCAGTTTGTACCTTTTTCTTCTCTACTGTATCAGCCTTCCTTTACAAGGCCGGGTTGGACAGGGCTTGGAGCAACCTGGTCTAGGGAAAAGTGTCCCTGCCCACAGCAGGGTTTGGAACTGGGTTTGGGTGCTCTTTAAGGTCCCTTCCAACCCAAACTGTGCAGTGATTCTCTGGAAATCATGAAACCATCTGGTTTGCAATCAGCTATCCTCACTTTGAGCTCAAGGGCACCACACCTCTGAGCTGAACGCAGCAAAATCAGGTGAGGATGGGAGAGAGGATAAACCAGCTGTAACTTACACTGCTCAGCTCAAGGTTGTCAGATTTGGCCAGTGGAAGAGGTAGCTTTGAGCTGCAATCTCAGATTAAGGCCATGGACCCAGGTCTGCTTTTCTGTCAAACTGCAGGAACGGAGCTGTAGAAGTCAGCAAACCCCCTGGGTAAATCCCCCAAATCCCCCCAGCTCTTCAGCACTCGAGCGGCCCAAGAAACACTGTGGAAAGAGTTTATGAGAAGTTCCCTTTTACTCCAGCTTTTTCCTGCTGTCATATCAAACCAAAAATAAACCTGCCAGTTTCTCTGAGCTGTGATCAAATATTCTGTAAGCTGCCTGTGTATCTCAGTAGTGAAAATCTAAACCAAGCATCTCATGTGAAAGAACAATTTTTGTACAGTGTCTTCCAAGATAATCAAGCACATTTCAGCAGGTTTGGTGTTGAACAAGTGTAGTAATAATGTTTAATATTTCAAAGCAAATGAGACATGCAGGGTGTTAAATGGTAATGAAAGTCAAAGCAATGCAGTTACAGCTTCCCTGGGAGGTTACAGAGAGCTCCTCCCAGCTGCTGGCTGTATTTAGAGGTGAAGTAAAAAAATGTGGGTAATCCAGAAACATTTGAAGTGTCTTGCCTGGAAGGCCAATGTTAAATGTGTGACATCAAGACTCCTCTTTCTCTCAAGGCAGATTTTTTCCCCTCTCCTGTTCATGGCACCTGGATTTTGCCACTAGGCAGGATGAGCAGGTCTTCTTCGTCCAACCTGCCCAAGCGTTTCACACACACCATACACACAAAATACTTGCTTTTTTCACAGATTTCCTTCTGAAGAGATCAGTCTCCCTTATTCCTCTTTGTTTCAATTTATTTATTTGTGTGCCACTACCTGTTTTCTTTGTCAAAAAGGAGTCAACAGTCCACGAGCAACAAAAGTGCTCGGTCAAATATAATCTCTGCCCTCTGCTTGGTACAACCAGGGCAAGAAATCACAAGAAGGCATGACAGAACAGAGCTTGCAGTTTGGCTGAATCAGAAGGATCTGAAGCCCCCCTGGCTTTTATTTTGAGCCCTTTCTTTTGCAGGGTTTCTGTACTAGGCATTAAAATCACCTCCCATCCCTGGCAGGTGTGGCTGATGGGCTGCCATGGTGGCCAGCTGGGTACAGGTTCTAAATGACAAAATAAAATACCACACAGGTTCTAAATGCCCCAAAAGTTGTCACTCATCACCAAAACCTCACAGCAAATGCCCCCAGATGGGTGTTTCCTCTTTGTGCTGAGCCCAACAGGACCTAAACCACAAGTCCAGCAAGCTGGACTCAGTGATTCTTGTGAGTCTCTTGAGCTTGACCTGTTCTGTGACTCTGTGATGCAACATCTGCAGCAGGAGATGTCACCAGTGGTCCTGGTCTCCATCACTGTGTGACCCTCACTCTAGCACTGTGGCTCCAGCTGGGGACCACATGTGCTCATTTGCTGAAGGGTGACATGGGCAAAGCCCAGAAAGCCAAACTGAGCTGACTCTTCTGCTTTGTCACCTTTCAGAGGCAAGTCCTGCTCTCCTGATGACGTGTGGTGCGAAAGGGGACACCAGGTCACCACCAGCACAGGGTGATTGGTCAGCTCCAGGTTTGTGCAGGTCACTAAAGCCCTTCAGCTTGTCCCAGAGCCCTGTTATTTCAGTACCAAAGACTCTGGAGCAATTTGTTATATCATATAAGGGGGCTGTTAGAGGTGGAACCATATGGGAGAAAAGCTCAAGCTCTCCTTACCTCCTCTCTTAAATTTCAAAGAGAATTTTCAGGTCTTGTTTCTGTTCCTCTGGCTTGTTAAAAGAAAGTGGGTTTAGAGCAAAGACTCCCCAGTTTAGAGTTTCTTATGCTCTGCATTTGAACTATGTAAATATTAGGGACACAGATAGGTGTGCCAGCGGTTCTGGTAGCAAAAAGTAATAGAAGAAAAGGTATAACAAGAGGACCTGGTGCCTACAACTGCTATATATGAGATGTCAGCCTTGTGGAAATGGCAAGGAAACAAGTAAAACTGGAATAAGAATGGGAAAAATCTGAAGGTCCCACAGACCTGGGGCAGATTGCTCTTATCTCAGCAGCCTGGAGCCCTCATGAGCTCAGAGTTTTCTCAACTCTTAATGCAAGCCAGCAAACTGTTCTCCCCGGTAAAAAATAGGATTTGGCTGTATGGCAAAAGGAAGATTTTTCCATTTCTGTTCATTTTCAGCACTCCATCTGGGCACAGCCTCTGCATTCTTGACTTTGCCAGAGACTCTGCTGCAGTGGTGCCAAAGCCAGGCACTGTGGATGCCCTAAAGCCAAAGGTGACACCCCTCCCCAGGCCACAGCCACCCCAGCCTAGGTAAGGCATCATCTGTTCTTATTTAATTTCAAGGAGCCAGAGAGGCTCTCTTGAGCACCTCAGTCATATTCCTCACAATGGAGATATATTTCTAAAATAACCACCTGGCTCCCTGAGTTTTCACTCCTCGTTCATTGAACATCCCATAGATGAGCATATCCATTCTCCAAGAACATCCCTTTCTGTTCAAACTTCTTTTTCCTCATCAAACTCTCTGCTTGGTGCCACCAGGAGATGTGATCTCAAACCCTTGGATGTGGACACGGCATCTCTGCACTGAGAAAAGGATGAAATGCAGAACAGTTTGGCCTAAGTTGAACACATTTTGGCTTCCCAGTTAACACCACATCTGGATTTATGCCAGACTGAAGTTACAATACATGTAGACATTACTCACAAGAGGCAAGGCCAATGCTTGAAAATAACCTCAAAGTTACTGGCAGAACAAAGCCTATTTTTTCCAACAAAAATGACTTTGCTAAACACATTTGTGTTAGGTGAATTTGGAGACCATGCATGAAAGTCACAGAGGCCTCTCTCAAGTTTTGACTCCACGATGAATTGTGTTTCTCCTCCTCCTCCTCCTTTGGCTTCAGTACGTAGTTTCCCTTGTGACCTGGCTGGAAAATGTGTGGTTGCTGGAGATGCTGTTGGATTTCCTGGTGAAGGCCAGTCGTTTCTTCTTCTTCCTCCATGGCAGGCACAGGATGGTGAGCGTGGAGAGGAAGATCTGGCGGAAGTTTGCCGACACCAGGTTGTAGAGGATGGGGTTGATTGCTGAGCTGACGTAGAAGAGGACATTTGTCAGCATGTAGAAGTAGTGGTAGAAGTTGTAAAGGAAACTGGAAGAACAGATGAAAGAGAAAAATCTGAGTGTGAAGAACTCAAAGTCACAAGGGTGAGAGAAACATGAGCTGCTTTCCAGCTAACCTTCCTAGGCTGCAAACATGAGCTCACCAGAGGTGCCTGGGCCACCACAACCCACCTGCATCTCCAACTGGAACTGGTCAAACATGGACCAGATGCCTCTGTGAAGATACTGCCCCACTCACCAGCAGTTAGGGGCTTAGTTAAGCCCTGGATCCAGACAAGATATTTACCTCATGCTCTCATTTTTCTTTGGAAGCAGTCATTCTGGAACCCGAGAAGCCAGATGGAAATTTGCTTCTGTGTCATACATACACATTAGCTTGACTTTTTTGGCTGCAGTTCTGATCTACAGAGGTTGCAGAAGAGCCAAACTCCAGGAACAGATGCAGCTCTCTCCTCCCTCTGGCAGTGAGAGCAGCATCAGCTCATTCAATGGGTCCCTGGGTTGGGATTTGTCCATAATGTGGGACAGCATTTCCTGTTCTGGGGGCAAGCTGATGATACCATACTTCTGAAACACATCCTAACCACCACAATTTAATGTTTTCAATTAGAACTGGTTGAAAATGTTTTATAGTCTTTTATGCTTTTGGCTATATCTTTCCTTGGGCCAACTGAGAACAACAGCCCTGAGCTGGTAAAGCATTTATAAACACCACGGATCTCATTTTCAGGAAGATGTTCCTCAGAATCATTTATCTTGGTGAAAATTGCAGATCTTTTTTTCTAGTCTGAGCAGTGTCTAACAAAAGATAAATAGAGGAGTGCTGGACTATGTTGCCCATCTCTCCACACCCCTCAGCACTGCCAAGGACTGCATGGCCCATCCAGTTCTTACAGAGTTTCTCTGTGTAGTTATGAAGAATTAATACTGGAAAAATTTTTTTTCTTCAGGGGCAAGGTACATGTGTTTATAAATGAACATGCCAAGCTGCTGCAAACTCTTGGTTAGCCACCAGACTGATAGTTCACTATCATTTTGTAAATTCAGTGTTTTCCTAAAATTAATCATGGTTTTAAAAAGAAGAAAAAAATATTATGTGAACACAGCCACAATGCATAAATTCCCACTAAATGCAGACAGACTTCTCTAAACCTCTTGCTCAAAGCAAGTGCAGTCATTACATAATTGAACAGTGCCTTAAGTGCTTTTCATATAGAAAAGCAAAGGAGAAACAAGAATTTGTCCCAGTGTGCGCCTAGAGCTCTGTTTTCATGCCTGAAGATAGATTTTGGATTTTACAGTGGCTGGATCCACAGTCCCATTCAGCAGATTGCTATATCCTAATTTAATGTATTTCCAGTCTGGAATTGATAGAATTTTAGTTTTTTATTGTTGTTCTGCTTTTTGGTACTGTAGATTTTTTTTTCCTTTCCCTTGAAAGAAACATTCCTGGTCTCAGGGAGAACAGGGATGTAACATCATGGGAGGAGAAACAAGAGAGCATCCCTTGGCATCTCAGCCTTCCTCAGTGTGTGTCCCCAGACAGCATTAGCTCTTAATGACATATTTAAAAATAATAATTAGTTTGGTGGCTGTTTTGCTGGAGAGCCTGGCCTGGTGCCTCAGAAAGGAGCAGGGGATGCCTTTGCACATCTGTGAGCAGTGTCCGTGCAATTATCCCGGAATTCTCTGGCAATCTGGACATTTCCTAATCAGCAGCAACTGCTGGCATTTCATTTTGATCCACTCCCTGCAAAACCCAGTGAATAACCTGGCCCAGCCTCAGTAAATAGCACTGGCATTGCCCCACCTGTGCCATCTCCCCTGTCAGGGAGGAAATGTGGCCTCGTGGAGCTGAATTGTGTGCTGACAGGAGCTGCTGCATTTTAGGGCTGGGGATCAATATCTCTGGCACAGAGACTGAAATCCACTCTGGGTGTACCAACCCCCCTGTCCAAATGTCATTTCATCAAGGGCTGCCAGACTGAAGCCTGTGCTTGCAGCCCTCAGGAGGAGGAGGAGGAGGGGGAGGAGGAGGGGCTGATGATGCCTTTTGGTTCAAAATAATGCTTCCTGAGGGATTTAGGTAAAACAAAATTCTTAATTTCCCTGGCAAACACTGAGACGTCCAAAAGAAAAAACAAACCAAAGCAGCAATTTGGTTTTTGTGATGGAGTTCACAGGGGTCTTGTGTTGAGGGAAGAGAGGAGAATGTTGACTCCATGTTTCAGAAGGCTTGATTTATTATTTTATGATATATATTATATTAAAACTATACTAAAAGAATTGAAGAAAGGATTTCATCAGAAGGCTAGCTAAGAATAGAAAAGGAATGATAACAAAAGCTTGTGACTGACCGAGACAGTTTGGACAGCTGGGCTGTGATTGGCCATTAATTAGAAACAACCACATGAGACCAATCCCAGATGCACCTGTTGCATTCCACAGCAGCAGATAACCATTGGTTACATTTTGTTCCTGAGGCCTCTCAGGAACATTTTGTTCCTGAGGCCTCTCCTTTCTCAGGAGAAAAAAATCCTAAGGAAAGGATTTTCCATAAAAGATGTCTGTGACAGGTTTTGAGACTTGAACCTCTCGGCTGGAGAGCGCCTTTGTTCCCAGATCCCCACCTCCACCTCCACACCTGGTTTGCCCTGGCATTCCCAGCCCCAGCCTGAGCCCCCAGCCTGTCCTGGCATGGGGGGACCATGTCCCCAAACTGTGACTCACTCTGTCCAGTGGCTGGAGGGGACATAGCAGAACATGAGGCGCCGTATGTGGTAAGGGAGCCAGCAGACCACGAAGGCAATCACCACAGCACCTGCAAGGCAGGAAAAAAAGCCTTAACTTTGTGAGCAACTCTCCATCAGGCTGAAAAAGGGACCTGTCTGCTTGGATTTAATTGCTGTAACTGTTTTCCTGCAGCCCCACTTGTTCTTGTGTTGCTGTAGTGCAAAGAATTGATAACCCTGAGGGACAAGCAGCCTGGAAATGTCTGTAAAAACAAGAAAACAGAAGTAACAGAGAACATCACTAAGCACTGGGGCAGGGACATGAGGAGCAGCAGAAGGTATAGATGAAGCACTGGCCATGCCTAGTTCCTGGCTCAAAGGAAACTCTGTTTGCATCTGTGTTTCACGCCCTTGTGGCACAGGGTATTTTGTCCATGGTACTCACAGGGACAGCTGGTGTATGTTTTCCATCCAGGTAGACAGGGAGCCAGGCCCACTCTAATCCCATTAGTTTGTTACTACTGGAGCCACTGGCCACAGTGCTGAGCATCATTAAACTGCTCTTTCTAGTGGCAGGGCTCATCCTTTTGTTCTACATTTGTGCCATACCTGAGATTACGACGTGTTTGGGTCTGGACTTTGTCATAATAAACATGATCAATTAAAGGGTAAGCAGAGAAAGACACTGTTGCTTTTTTCCTTTCCAGATTCTGAGGGACGTCAGACAATTGAAAATAAAATGCAACAACTCTGAGGCATAAAAGTGCTCTTGATAGAGTGCAGTTGTCAGTCTGGATTAAAAAGCAGATCTATCAGGCAATCGAGAGAAAGATTTGTTTCTTTTGTAATACGTGTTTCAACTTCTGTATGGAGCAGCAGGATTCTGGCAGAATCCTAGCAGGAAATAAGGAAATCTCAGTTAAAACGTAACACAATAAAAGGCAAGAAGAAAATAAAAACTAAATAAAATAATTAAGTTATTTTTGGTCCCAAATTTGCTCTACAGACAACAGGGACACATCACTCTTGTCCTTTATGTGACCTATAAGGGGCTGAGAAGCAGCAAAGCTCTGCTCCAGAGTAAGGTACCACAAGTGCAATCTGAATTTGGCACGTGGAACCAAAGGCTGGGGGTTTTCTGCCTTGGGATTGAAAATATTTATGTGGATATGTCCCAAACCCAGACACTGTCATCCCACAGGGACCAGGCTGTAGCTCAAGATGTGCTTCCTCTTGGATAATGCAGTCCAGGAGGAATAAGTCTAGCTGTGGCTGCATCTCCCCATCACTGATGCTTAGCAAAGAGGCACAGGAGAGCAGAAATTAGAAAATCCCTGGTGTCCAGCTCCCTACTCACACCCTACTCCAACTCCATGAGCTCCCTCTCTCATTAAACACACAGCTAACAGGGGAGAAGGTTCTATTCCATGATGCATGACAGCATCTTCCAGGAATGCTACAAAAGCCATTTATCCAATAAAGATTTAAGCAACTGAAGGGACATGTTTTGGAAAGAAGGCTAGAGGGTCTGTTTTTATTCTCTTGTCCAAGTGAATTCATTTTTTCAAACTGTTTTTTGGCTGCTCTGTGGCCACAGTGGTCACAGATGTAACTCATCACCAGACAGCCTGCAGCCCTTCGGATGCCATCAAGTGAATGAATCTGACCTGTGTCTGATCCTTCCCTGAAGAGGGGACTTTGATGGGACTTTGGCAGGAGAGCCTGCATGATGTGTGGCACAGGAGAGGTGGGACATCCCCTGGGAGCTCGGTGGGAGCGTGGCTGCCTGCCTTGCCCCTTCACATGTCTGCTTTTGGCCTCCTCCAGAAATCCATTTCTCTGCTGGATGGGCTTTTGGTTTGCCCTGGATGGAGCAGCCCCCCTGTGATTGTCCAGGAGATCCCTCCCAGGGGCTGCAGGAGAAGCAAAACTCTCCAGCCTCTCCTCCTACACCCTTCAGCCTCGGGCTGAGGGGAACGAGCCAACACCACAGCTCCAGCCCATCTGCTCTCCCAGTCCTGCCCAGCATTAGCTGCACTTTCAGGCTGCAAAAGCAGCTTCCCAAATGCCTCCAAACACAGGTTCATTCAGGCACATCTTAATTTTTGCAGAAACCTCCACACTCTGGCACTTCTCAGCTGCTCACCCCTGTGTGCAGCTCTTTAGGAACGGTGGGATCCAGATTCTTTCCACAGCCAATTATAAGAATCTCACACATCTGCTTGTTAAATTTACCAACACGTTAAATGAAAGTGGTTTTCTCCTGGTAAATGATCTCTGCTTCTTCTGCTGCTCAGGCAATGCTGTGCCAAATAATATGGATCTATAGTAACAAAAACACATATTGAGAGAAGTATCTGCTTAACATCAGCAATTAAGTAATCTGTGATAATTCTGTAATATCACACGCAATCACTCTACAATTAAATCTCTATTAAACATGTGAAGTGCACTGGAGACACTTGTGGTCTGATTTGGAAGTCCCAGCTGGGTGACACACTGTGCAGTTCTGTGCTGCACAGATTAGGAGATCCCGACCTGAATTTGTCACCCTTAATCCGTATGTTTTCATTTTGTCACACAAGGGATCAGGCAGATTTAGGGTGGCAATCCTGCCCTCCTGGCTCCTCTCCCCTGGGAGGAATATGAAACATGAGACTGTGTTTACTTTCACCTAATACAGAATGAAAATTCCCTTTTCTCCCAGATACCTGGTTCCTTTTCCTGCTGTTTTGTTCTGCCTGTCAAAATGGTTGAGCTGTAAGACAAATCCTGGGCATGCTGTCTGCCAAAATGATTTTTTATTGTTGTTATGAGCTCCTAGGATGTGTTCTTCATCATCAAAAGCCCGACACATGGGTTCCTTTGGTGAAGTAAGAAGGAGCAGATCAGCCTGCTGGAGCTGAGCGCTGCAGGGGAAGGGTTTGACTCAATATGTGATGGGGTCACTGTCCAGGATGGTGTTTGTGAGGTTGGAGATTTCCTGCCTTTATTTTTTGAACTAAAAATAAACCAGACACATCCCTCACTTCTAATTAATTCAATAAGGTTCTAATAGGAGCAGAGCTGCTCCATGAGCTTCTGATATTTCCCGTAATTGAGCAAATGAGGTGCCAAACCTCAAGGCTGGGAAGTGGATGTGGGACCCCAGCAAGATGATCCCAGTGTGCCAGGGGTGGCGGGGAATGATCCTTCCACCAATGTATGCCCTCATTTCCCTTCTAAATCAAACTCCCAATTTAAATGTGTATTAAACCATGAATTATTACATCCTGTGTTTTTCTATTTTGTCTTATAATGGCTCTTTTCTCTGCCTGTTTGAACTGCATGCCAAGGAAGAAGGGGAGAGGAAGGAGGAGTGGCAGAGGACGAGCCCTGGTTTGTTTTTCCTTCAGGAAGTCCTGCAGAGAGAAACATCAATTCTGACTGGCATCTTTTTCATTGTGAGGAGATTTAAACTGTGCCAGTCTCTGCTCTCAGACTCAACTGGACATGGCAGCAATCCTGGAAGTTAAATTTTATTGAATCACACTGAGTGTTTCATTTTGCCTTGTGCGTACCCTGGGCTGAGGCTGGGGCCTGCCCTGCTCCAGGAGCTCCTCTGGGTTAGCGTGGGCACAGGGCAGGGCACCATGAGTGGGGAGGCCTTAGTTTGGCTGGTTTGGCTGAGCTCAGGAGTGGGCTCAGGAGGGGTTTGCAGCCCCCATGGCCTGGTGGGGCCATGTGGGGTTCACAGTGACTCAGAGCGCTGGGACGGTGACGGGTGAGGAGCCACAGAGCTCTGACTCACCCGGAGCTGCTGCGGTACAAAGCTGGGCTGGGCTGGTGTTCTCCTCCTCCTCCTCCTCCTCCTCCTCCTCACTTCATCTGCTCCAGCCCCTCTGGGATGCTGAGTCACAGCCCTGCAGCCCCAGGCCGGCCCTGGGCGAGGGTATCCCTCTGTCCTGTCCTCCTTTCTCCAGGAGAGGCAGAAAAGGGAAGCTGCTCCTCCCTGCTGCTGCTAAGGCCTCCAGAGAGGCTCGGATCCATCCTCCCTCGATAGTTTTGTCCAGGCAATTTCAGCCAATTTATTTCTTTTTCTCTGCACTTGAAGGGGATCTGAGCCACATACAGATGTGGAGCAGCACGGTGGAATTCCTGAGCAAAGGCAGGAGCTGTCTGGGGAGGCCTTGGCACCCATGAACAACAGCTCTCAGCTTTTTGTGTGCTTCAGACTCATCCCCAACACTGCCCAGGGGGTGCACACCCACAGCTGGTACTAATGAGGTGTACAGAAGGTTATCAGGGTGGTTTTTGGAGAAACAATCCTTGTATATCCCAGCCTCCTGGGCTTTATGTACTTATTTAGTTGATGCCATTACAAGAGAAGCTCTCCCAAAGAGCTGCTTGATCTGAGAGGTGGTGAAAGCTGGGCCAGTGCAGGCACAGCTGGCACTGCCTCCCTCAGCCTCGAGGTGCTGTTTATATTAACGTGATGCTCTACCTGACAGGCTCTTGTCAATATTTATATCAGCAGGCCCCAAAGTAGGGGTTGCAGGAGCCCAGTAAAATTAAAACTACTTATGCTGGTATTTGGGTCATAAGGCTGTGGAATAAAGGATTTCCATAAAAGTCAGTAACAATCAGCAGGGTTTGGGGACCACCAGCATGAACCAGGAGTACTCAAAGAAGAAACTGGGAGTAACAGTGAGCTTGAGAAGTCCTCAGCTCCTTTAAATACCACTGAAAGCACACAACATTTGCTGGATACAATCCCCTAATTCTCCTGAACGTATGATCAAAAAAACCCCAAGTTATTCTTTATTAGTGAAAGTGAGACAGCACAGAGAATGGAAAAACCTTTTGGCATTCAAAATCAACATATTTCACCCAGACTATATTCTCCAGTCCTGATTTTAATGGCTTCAGATGACAGATTTGAAAATAGATGTGAATTCCTTCCCCAGCTCACGCCAGTGGTTAAATCATCCCCTGGCACCTGTTCCATCCATAAGGGGCAAGGCAGAAAATACAGATTAAAGCTGGCCCATGGACAGGCACTAGCAAGCAGCACAGCACTGCTGTCCCAGTGCCTACTGGGGTCTCTTCC